ACAGACCTGGTAATATTTGGTCTTTGACTTCCTCTCAAGGGAATAAGAAAATGTCATTTGTTTTAGGACCTTTGACTTACAGAATGGTAGAGCTGGGAGGGACCTCAGATATCATTTAGTCCATTTTTTAAAAAACCTCTTTGTGACTCATGGACCCTGAGAATGTGATCGAAATCTACAGGTCCTCTCCCCCCAAATTCACTTATGCTTATGACACATGAAATGCTACATATAGTTTCATGGCACTCATGGAGTACCCGGATTAAGAAATCTTCTTTTTATTTTATTGATTTTAGTTATGTATTTTATTGAAACAGAGGCTCAGAGAAATGGAATGGCATGAAGCAGAGTGATGGAAGTGGTTCCCCATGGGTCGGATCACAGTAATGAGCAGGAGTCAGATCTATGGGTCAACTCTGGAGAAAGGCACTGACAAATTGAACGTGTTCAGGGAGCAGGCTGCAATAGGATCCACTATAAGGCATAAAGGAGACCTGGGGTAGGTGTGGGAGTGTCATGAGCACTTTCGTTAATTGTCGAAAGCTGGTTTATGGAAAAGCATGTAGACTTTTCTCTTTTGCTTCGAGGGCTAGCCAAAAACGAAAAGGTAGAAAAGAACTTCTGCCAGACAGAACTGTTCACTAACGGAATATACTAACTGAGAGGTACAGAATTCCTTGTCATTTGAATTTTTGAGGACACAGAACAACCTCCTATAAAAGGGATTTAAGCATCACAAGAGTGTGAACTGGGTGACCAAAACTGGACTTGATTATGTAACTCGGGATGGCTGAGACCTCAACTGTGAGGGGTTGGGAGGGTGGTAGCAGTGGAGAGAAATGAGACTTGGAGATAGATATAAGCGGAAGAAAAATGTTGAAGGCTCTTATACTGCATGGCTGGTATTCAAGAATAGTAGCCTGTACAGAGTGGTGGGACAGAGAATGAAAGCAAAAGGACATGAAAGTACATTTCAAAAGAGGAATTAACAGACTCAGTGGTGGAAGCACTAGCAAGGAAATAAGGAGGCAAGAAGAGAGAGGTTGTGGTGATGAGCTGTAGGTTTCACACAGTGAGTCTGAAGCGATACTGACAACAAGACATGCAAATGGAAATGCCCAGTAATCCGAAATGTTGGCAAGTAACTAAAAGGAGGTGACCAGCAGGCAACTGATGAGTTAAGATTAGAGTTCCAGGAGGTCAAGATGTGAGACAGAGATGAAGTAATTTAAGTATTAAGAGTAAGTATATTTTTAATGAAAAAAGTATAGCAGGAATAGAAGTCTAAGGAGTTAGCCCGTAGGGCTGACCTCAGTGTGGAGACGGCATAATTAAAAAGACATGAGAAGGAAGAGTCAGAGAGGAGATTGGAGATTAGAGAGCGAAATAAAAACCTGGTAAAAAGGAAGCTTCGGGGAAGAAGAGTGATCAACATAAATACAGTCTTATTTTAGTGTGCATTCAACTGCGTGCTTTGGCAGGTAAATTATAGTAATGTTCATTTCGGCAATAACATAGGTGGTGCAGTATGAGTTATAAAGTGCTTTTAAATGGATTATAAGTATCCCTTAAATAATATTTTCTTAAAAACATGCCTTAGAAAATATGGCTAAAACGTCTCTCCCAATTTCTGTATCAGTAAATTAAAAATCACTTTAAGTTTAATGAGTTCCTTTCACATCCTTACTTTAAGGAAGGTGATTTCTGCCATCCTATAGTGATCAACTGGGAAAGGTACACTGAGGTAACATGATATGCCTAGGCCACCTTAGTCAACAAGGCAGCAGCAGCATGAACTGAATCTAACATTCTGATTTCTGCTCATTAAAACAAAAACCAAACACGAAATAAAACAGTGACTCAGATTTTAAGAAATAACTTTTGAGAAATAAAATGAAAACAGATTAATTCGGTTTCTTTAATAGTTAAATATTTCCCTTAAAGATCTATGCTACATGACAAAAGAGGTGATAGTTACAGTGTAAGAAACTCGTTTCTTTCCAATAATGGCACTCAGAGAGATAGAGAAAAGACTGTGATTGAGAAAAAGAAAAGGAGATTATAATTTTTCAGTTCTGGCAATTTCAAATATTATCACAGTAAGCACAGCTCCCATTTAAAAGGGTTTTTAAAAATGAACGTCAGCACCCGAAGTCAAATCTCCTTCCATCACCATATATTTGATCCCCTTTACACTTTTCTATCTCTTCACCTCCTTCCGGTAACCACTAAACTGTTGTCTGTGCCTGAGTTTTTGTCTGTCTCATTCTTTTGTTGCTTTCAGTTTTATATCCCACATATGAGTGAAATCATATGGTTTTCAGCTTTTACTGTCTGACTTATTTCACTTAGCGCAATAATATCAAGATCCATCCATGCTGTCGCAAATGGTAGTATTTCATCAATCTTATGGCTAATATTCCATTGTGCGTGTGTATGTGTGTATATATGCATGCATGCATGCATGCATGTATGTATGTATGTATGTATCTCACATTTTATCTAATCATCTATTGCAGGACACTTTGGTTGTTTCCATGTCTTGGCCACGATGAATAATATTTATGGATAAATGTTTTCAAATTTAGTTGAAATTGCTGGGTCATATTCTTAATTTTTTTGAGGAACCTCCATACTGCTTCCATAGTGGCTGTACCAATTCACATTCCCTCCAGCAGTGTACGAGGGTTTCTTTTCCCCCACAATCTCTCCAACACTTGTTATTAGTTGTCTTGTTGATAACAGACATTCTTACAGGTGGGAGGTGGTATCTCACTGTAGTCTTGATTTGCATTCCCCTAGTAAGACGGAAGGAAATTTGACTTTGGGTGGTGAACACACAATGCAATATATATATGACGTATTATTAAATTGTACACTTGAAGCCTACATAATTTATTAACCAATGTCACCCCAATAAATTTAATAATAAAAAAAGATGTAAAAGCCAAAAAAATAAAAAGAACTTCGGAAACCAAGAATTAAGAACAAAGAGTACCTATCTTCCAAAATATTGAAACTAATTAGGATAACAAGCAAAAGGGTAAAAGGTGGTGGTGGTAGGGGGTGAATTAGATGATTCCCACACCTCCTTGTCATTTCATACCCTCTAGGCTGGGATTTACAAAAGTCCACGTTAGGGAAAAAAATTTTGTAAACCATTATATACTCTATTTAAGTGTCATTATTTGAAACCCCTCCCTCTGTAGAGACCACCTTCTGACAAAAGAATTCTTCGTTCCTGCCTCTACACTGAATCCAAACCCTTAGCCCCAGGTATACAGCCTCTGGGCAGCACCCGGCCGGGCAAAGGAGAGGAAGAGGAGGCTGAGATCACTAACAGTGAAGACTTGGGCGTTCCTACAGAACTGGAGAGTGCCTAGAAATCAACTGGTCGAATCAGCCATGTTTTAATAGATGAAGAAACTGAGGCCCAGAGAGAGAAATGCTGTGTTCAATTCACAAGTAAATATCAGAGGCTGGATTTGAACTCAGGTCTTCTTTCGACTCTGCCATAAACGTTTTACTATGCTAGAGAAGGAGTTTGGGGGAAAGAAGGACTCCAGGGCTCCCTCTCTCCAGAAACGAAGTGGAATGTGTTTAGGTTAACACACTACTTTCTGGGCACAAAGTCAGACACGTTGCCTTCGAAGCCTCCCACCTCATATTCAGGTAGATATGACTTCAAACTCTGAAAAAAGATTCTCACACATTAATCTGGAGTTTGTAGAAACATCAGAAGAGGGAAATACAATATTGTGTCCCTTGCAAAGAATATTTACTTGCAACTCAGGTTTATTTGGCATACGTATTACCTACTTACATTTGTCACTCACATGCAGAGAACTTTTATAAGAAGGCTGGAAAAAGAGGCATATTGAGCCTTTAGGTTAATACTGGATTCTTGGCAAAAGTGAAGAGAAGAGAGCCTCGTTAAGAGAACAATGCAAAATATTTCCTAGGATGCTTCAGAGTCACAGAAAATAATGTTTCTGTCAGTCTCAACTAGCGAAGGCTGATATGACATTAGCATTCCAGTTCACGGTGGTATTTAACTTCTTGCTAACATGGTTTTCCTGACTTTTATTATTTTTAATTGTTATTTATTACACTTACGCTTCCCCCTTGTGGGCAAGATATGGAAGGATTCAAGAGTTGGAAGGACCTAAGATTTGGAAACTTTCAAGACGTGGCCTAGGAAGCCACCCCCCTCAGGAAACTGTCTGTCTTTCACATCTTCATCAGAAGTTTGTCACTCTATACCTGCTAATGCAATACTCTCCCGTATTTAAAGTACCCAACAGAGTATCAAAGAAAAGGCAAATCAAAGCATAATCTAAAATTAATCATTTATGGTATCACGATGTGTAATAGGCACAAATGACTATTTTGCACATTTTGTACCATTATCCAAAAAAGTGTGAGGTCCTTGAAGCAAGTATTTTGCTTTCAGTTACTCTTTTCTCTGTAGGTTCCAGCCAATAGTTCTGTATTTAGTTAAGAATTCAATTACTATTTCTTGAATAAATTACATTATTTAGTACCTATTTGTTAAGGAACAGGTTGGGGAAAGCAAGTTCTTTATACAAGTTGGCTGCTTTAATCAAATCAAAACCAGACTGTAATCGGTCTAGTGAAAGTAGGCTAGATATTGGTGTAAGTTTCTTTTGGAAAGGTGAGAAGACCAGTTACCTCTTTGTAGCTCACTGTGGGTGGTGCTCCCACCCTCCAACTACCTTCCGTGGGTGGGTGTGGCAGTGGTTTGTCCCTGGGTTATAACATCAAGGACTAAACTAGAGGAACAGCCACGAAGTAGAGATTAGGCCTTCATCCCGAAGGACTGGTGAGCAGAAGGGGGAGATGACATGGATATAGGGCTTAAAATCATTTCGGATTCTCTCCAGAGTCCCTCTCCTGACCGCACCTCCCACCTCCCCCCCGCCCCGCCCCTTCCAACCTGATTCTGAGTTGCAAGAACACAATCTACAGCTCAAACTTACTTGGCAGCAGCATCTTTTCTCAACTGTTCATGCTTCATGAGGAGATTTTTCCGGTCTCGGAAAGCTTTCCTGACCTTGTACCCTTTGTAGACAGCTTGGATTTTGAAGGCGGCAATGTCTTGTATAGCTGCGATGGACAGGGCACCACGCTCCAGCATGAACTGGATCACTTCGTGGCGCTCACCGAGCAAAGCATAATCAAGGGGAGTGTACCTGAAACAGAAAGGGTTAGTTTTTTTTTTTTTTTTAAGTGTTGGCATGTAATTCAAGGCACAGTTAAACTGGCAATATTACACAGTAAAAGGAAACTTCGTTCTAAGATGTGAAATATTCTCTGGCAACGCTATCTTCTTACTCCACGGCTGTTCCCTTTTCTCTCTGAGGGTCATAAAACAAGGGTAAAGCTCCTGACCATGTCCATTCCTGAGTTTTGCTCACTGGCTCACAAACGAGGGGCTGTGAGAACACAGGATCACTTTTCTTCTTCCCCATATTCCAAATAGTTCCTAGCTCCTATCTGAAAAAAGGTACTGCAAATAATATTCTGTGAGATTCATAAGTTTGAGTCCATGATTATCTATACTTAACACTTACAGAATAAAAAGTATACCTATAAATGGAGAGATTTAGTGTGTGATAAGAATGGCCCATTAAATCACTGCAGAAAGAATAGATTATTAAATAGTGTTGGGACAACTAGCTAGCCATGTGGGAAAAAAAGATTCTTACATTACATTTTACTCCAAATTCATAAATACACACACACACACACACACACACACACACACATATTCTCACCCTCACAATTAACCACTAATAATATCTTGGCAGAAATGCTTTCCTTTTTTAAAAAGAAAAATAACTACTTGGTAAAAATGACACATTTTAATAATTCAAACAGTGCAAAAAGTAAAAAAAAAACATATATATAAATAAACTGTGAAAAGTATTAGAAGAAATCATGAAAGTTTTTTAAAATTGAAGTGGGAAGTCTTTCTTTTAAAAAAAGATTAAAAACTTATAAACCTTAAGATTGATAAATCTAAGTACATGAAAACAAAAATTTACAGGGTACATAGATACAATGGACTATTACTCAGCCATAAGAAGAGATGAAATACTGCCATTTGTGACAACATGGATGGACCTCGAGATTATCGTGCTAAGTGAAATAAGCTAGACAGAAAAAGTTGAAAATTACATGATATCACTTATATGTGGGATATAAACCTAAAAGCAACAAATGAACAAGACAAACAGAGACTCATGGACATGGACAATAGACTAGTGGTTATCAGAGGGTAGAGGGTGATGGAGCGGGGAGGTAGACGGGGTAAAGGGGTCAAATATGTGGTGACAGAAATCTAACTATGAGAGGTGAACACACAGTGTAAATGTATATATGCCTTACTGTTAAAGTGTATAGCTGAAACTTATTTGATTTCGTTAACCAATGTCACCATAAAAAAAATAAATTAATTAATTAAAAAAATTTGCAGGGAAAAACCACCAGAAAACAAAGATAAAAGATAATTCCCCAGACAGGAAATACTAGAGGCTCCTAAACATGTCTAAACCTACTCATTTAACAGAAATACAAATTAGGACTCATGTAAGAGAATACTTTAATAATAAGATTAGCAAAAATCAAAATTTTAAGAACATACTGTGGTGGCAAGGATGGAGGGAGACAGCCTCTCTCATATACTACATTAATCTTTCGGGAGAACAATTGGGCAATATCTATCGAAATAATTCATGCTTTTGCCCTTCAATGCAGCCATTTCACTTACAGACATTTATCTTACAGATCTGCTCTCATGTGTGAAATGCTTTATGTACAAGGATATTCATAAAAGTACAGTTGGAAATAGTGAAAGAATGGAAACGACCTCAATATCCATCAACAGGAGTCTGTTTAAATAAAGCAGAGGCCGTCTACACAATAAAGTCATCTGTATGATGCAGCCACTACTGTGGTATATGAATAAATAAGAAACAACCTCCAGGATGTCTTATTAAATGAAGAAAAGGAAAAAAGTAAAAAACAACAGCATTATGGCGTGCTCCATTTATACAAAGACTGTATCGCTGTATGCTTATCTATGTCAAATGTAACTCCAGAAGTTTCCCAAGAGACTGCTAACAGTGAGAGGGAAACTGCTGTCCCAGAGGCAGGGGTAGGAGGGACATTTAGTTTTCACTGAACGCCCTTTTACGCCTTTTAAATTTTGTACAAGGTGCATATATAGCACCTTTTTGATAAAAAGATGGGTATTATTGTCATATAGTTAGTTATATGTATAAATATCAACTGGCTACCTTCTAGATGTATGATCTCGGGTAAATTCCTTTTTAAAAATATATCTTCTATTTTTAGAAATACAAAATAAATTGGATAAATACACAGAAAAAAATAACAGTTATATATATCCACACTCTCACAATTAACAACTGATAATATCTTGGCAGATATGCTTTCCTTTTTTAAAAAGAAAAATGACTACTTGGCAAAAATGACAGATTTTAAGAATTCAAACACTGCAAAAAGTAAAAAAAGTAAAGTAAAAAAACCCCCAAATTCTACCATCCAACAAGGTAATGATAACTGTTACTTCTTAAACAACTTAACCTGATGTTTCTAAGCTCCAGCTTTCCTCATCACAGAGTCAGCATGAGGAAAGAATGAATAAAAGTCAAGTCTGACATTGTGTCAGGGAGGAGTTCATAAATGTCAGCTATTAGTGTTATTATTATAGGACATACACTGCAGTTAGATTTGTCATACCATAGTCACTTATCATAAATACTATTTCCACAGGACCCAAACTAGTATTTATAACCACCTAATGGCTGCCACTGGATCTGATTCTTCTTTGAGTGACTGTTACTAATTCAATGCAATAAGAGGTGTCAGGAGGAAATAATCAGCTAATTTCTGAGGTGGAAAAAATGATGATTATATAGATGTATGATTAGACACAGAAAATCATTTAATGATCATGGGGAAAAAAATGATCTCTCTTCAAAATTCACCTAACAGTCATAGCAAGACATACAAGGACGAGGTTTTCAGTATAAACAAAGGGTGGTTTGGTCACTTCAGTAAGGAAACTCTGAATTCAGAAGGAAGCCCAAATGCTAAAACTAAGGAACCCCCATTTTAGGACAGCTCAATTTGCCATTATTGTTTACTGACCAGAAGGCTATAAGGAGAGGTGTCTATATAAACTTTAAAACATTATTTATAAGTGGGTAATGTTTTATAAATTCAGAACTTTTAAAAGTTTAACTAGATATTCAATGGAAAAGATGATCAGAGTCAGAGAACCACACAACAGTCTCATGAATTTTAGAGAACATTTAACTGTAATAAAATGAATAAATAGACTCAGAAAAATTAAACAACTTGCTGAAGATAATATAACTAGTTACTTGCAGAATCTAGACTGGAACTAAGATTGCATGATTCCCTGTTCAATAATCTTTCCACGACACATCTATCAATTATTAAGTATGTCTCCTATAGAATGAAACTTCTAAAATCAACATGCAAATAACATATATTTAGTAAGCCTGATCATTTCTTCCATAATTAAAATGTAGTGTCTTTCATATAGTATACAAGCAGGATTATCAAAATCTGGTTTATGAAAGTAAGGCCCAAACTATGCCTTTACTTACAAATATGACAAAAGGAAATAACAGGGAACATAATATACCCTAAAAAATGCCGACCTAGGAGTCAGCATCAGCAGACCTGTGGGACCCTGGGCATTTTCTTCAATTCTCTTCACTTTCGTTTTCTCATTTGTAAAAGTTGAAAGGAAGGAGGAAAAAAGAACTAGATCTCTCAGGCTGCTTCTGGATGGAAAATTGCACTTCAAATATTTTAAATATTTTTATTATGAAAATATTATATGTCTTTATGAGAAAATTTGAGCATAAACAAAAGTGGGGAGAAAACATAAGAATCCTTTATATATTCATCACTTGAATTTAACAATTAGCAAGATTTTGCCGCATTTGCTTCAGCAAGGCCCTTCCTCTTTATTTTTGCTAAAGTATTTTAAAGCAAATTTCAGAACTATCATTTCATCTCTCTGTATTTCAGTATTCATCCATAAATAATATGGATATAACCATAATGTTATTATTGTGTAACAAAATTAACAGGAATTCCTTAGTATGATCTAATGCCAATCCACATTCAAATTTTCCCAATTTTCTCAAAAATATCTTTTTTTTTAATTGGTTTATTCAGGATTCTCAGTCAATTTTTGATCAAAGAAACACAATCCAAATATCTAGCAAGGTTTTAAGCCTGAAGTTTATACCTAGAGTTTAAGCAACTGATCATATTGTGATTATTCCTACTAAATCTTTCTTCATCCCCAATTCAATTTAGAAACATTCAAGTGCTGTGAATATTACCATCGATGTCAGAGTGTGGCTGTCAGATAGTTATTGACTGAAAGTCAGATGTAGCTGGCAAAAATTATGTCTATGCTGGGCACATCAAGTGGTTAGTGTCAATGCATGAGAAGTAAAAATTAGCACTACATTGATGGTAACCAGTCAAGAAACAATGTAGATAAAGACAAGAGATAAGATACAATTGGACCTGCCATGTGGGAATGGTCTGGTGGGATGAGCAGAATGCCTAAACCAGAATGTCAATAAACATAAGAGGCAGTGCCAAGTTCTGACATTTGTACATCAAAGTGCATTGCTGATGAAACATTAAAGGAGCCTGGAATATTGCCACTGTCTCTTTTCATCTATAGATTGGCAAGTACAGTTAGGAGGATCTTTCCCGAGGTCTTTTGGTCTGTAATTAATATGTGTTTACTCCAGGAGGCAGTAAGCACCTTAATTCACAGGCTTACTTAGGTCTGAAATACAAGGCATAGCATATAAATGGGAATTGAATTTATACACACACACATTATGTTTATATACATATATATTTACTGTTTCTTTAAAAACAGTAGTCGGTAAATACTTGTAGAAAAAAACCCTTATAGAAATAAATCATCGCTAATTCTTAGGATTTGTAAATTTTCTTCTTTTTTTTTTTTTAGGATTTCAAAGGGAGAAGTCTTTAGCTTTCTCATATATCTGCTTTAATGTCAAAACCTCAGCTTTCCACTGGCTTTCCAGCTTCCTTAAATGTCCAACCTCCTAAATCTTCAAATCTTTTTTGTTTTGCAGTTGTCATTTGACTATAGTAGAGAGGGAGTTCTTTATGTAACTGCTCCTGAAGTAAGGCAAACTAGTCTTCTTTATCTAATTCTGCATGTGCTTGAAGAATTTCAGAAGTTTCTAATGCAACTAGTATGAAGCAGGGTCATGCTACTAGAAGCCTGAAAACACCAAGTTGACAATGCAAGTTATTTACTGAGCATCTACTTCATGAAAAGCACTGTGAGCAATACAAAGATGACCATCATCTTCAGGAGTTCTCAGCTAACAGAGAGGATGGAGTATACAGAATGATAATATAAAGTGAAAGGTGCCGGGTGCTATAAAAATATATAAAAAAAGCGTAGGGAAGAACAAAGTTTGGGACACATGATGGTGGGATCAGAACAATTTTTTTAGACTGTTTTTGAAGAGAGGAAGGACGTGACTAATACTTACATTGGAAATATGATTTAGGAAGGCTACTTTGGAAGTAGATGAATGAGGAAAGATCAAAGGAGAAAAAACAGCAAGGAGACATTGCAATAGTCCCAGAAAGAGTCAAGAGAGCTTGATTTAGACAATGGTGCTGGTAATGGAGAGGAGATGACAGTGTGAACCAAGAAGAGATACTGAGTCTGAAATATAGGTTTAGAACTCACCAGCACCCAGGGGACTGCTGAAACCTCGGTGGTAGGTTGGATCGCCAAAGGAAACGGGTGGAGAGAAGAGATCCATTCCTTGAAGAATGTTTATATTTAAGAAACAAAAAGTGGAAGTGGAGCCAAAAGAAACAGAGAAGGAGCAGACACGATTAGAAAAGGATCAGGAAAATAATACTGTCACAGAATCTTAGAGAAGATACAGTCTCCATAAAGTAAAGAAGAGGAGGCGACAGAAACAGGTGATGCAGAAAGGCCAATGAGAGTGAAAAAGAGGACGACACGTGATTTTTCGACTAGGAATTGGTCAGTGACCATTCAGACACAGATTTCAGCACAGATGTGAGGATGGAAGCCAGACTGCAGAGGCATGAATGGTGAGTATGGGGAAATGGAGGCAGTTAAGACAGTTTGAGAAAAAGACGACTTTATAGGCAAAGAAGTCAAATTTCAGAAAAAAGTGATGGAAAATAATGGATGGAAGCTATAACTAATGGAGAAAAGTTCTGAAAGAAGTGAGAAAAATGAAGGGGCTGGCTCCAGAAAGGAGGATCATGATTCCTCTGAGGCAACTGGCTTAGAGAAAGTCCCTCCTTCTCCTCAAAGTTTCCTATCTCCTGAGAGAAAGAAAGAATTGGTGGTGGCTAAGAAGGTCAAAACATCCAGAAACATAAAAACTAAAGCACAGGCCCAGGCTCAGGGCCTGTGAATCTGACCATAAACTTAGTTGTTACCTTCAAATTACTAGAATCTTCCTAGATCTAAGACTGCCAAGAGTCTCTTCTGCTTAGATTTCATGTCTGGTCTTTTTACTAGGTCCTTGGGGAACAACTTGAGCCTAACTCTGTGGATCTCATATTATTCAAGACATCTGTATTTAGACTAAAGTCCCAAACTTGAATCTTAGCTTCTCCTCACTTTTTCATGCTATATGGTGGCACCTCTATCCACTAATTGATAATGTCCTCTTTACCAAGAGAAACTTATAACACATTCCACTGGCCTAACCGAACTCCTAGTCTTGGTCAGTCAGGAACCCCCTGACTTTATGCTAGTCAACACCCAGAAGGAGTAAGCTTCCTCATCTATAAAATGTGCACTTGCCCTATGTAATATTGAAAGTTCTAAAACAGCTTTAAAATCCTATGATTCTAAGTCAACATTGCATGGAACCTTTGCTCTTTTCTTCTGATTCAGGATTTCTTAGTACTGTAGTGTTTCCTTGAGTATACTTAATATTTCTGAACCAATATCTAAACTTGAGATTTTTTAATGTAGCAGAAAGGATGTAAGATGAACCACAGTACACTTTTTTTTTTTCAACCCTTTACTTACCTCTCTTCATTGTTTTCCATTTGATTAGGAAAAGCAGCAAAGTCTAGTAGTAATTTAATGGCATCAAGGTATCCATTGTTACAGGACCAGTGCAAAGCTGTTCTTCCCTATAAGAATGAGCAAAACTCAAGTATATCATGGAGAACGTATTTTTGGACTCATGGTTATTTATGCTAACTCAAAAATATAAACAAATCTCTCCCCCAATTGCTTAATTACAGAAAGGGACAATATTAAGCGTAAAGTAGAGAAAATGGATTGTATCTTAACTAAGTGATCAAAATTAGCACTACGTGATGGGGCATCACATGTCTCCAGATTCGATATCACTTATATAATATTCCAACTAAAAGTGTAAAGTTTGAATCTAATTATGATGAATCATAAGGTAAACCCAAATTGAATAAAATTCTGTAAAATAAATGGCCTGCATTCTTAAAAATTTTCAGTGTCATAAAAGATAAAGAAGGCATGAAGCATTGCTAGAGATACATAGGGATATTTCATAGAGTTCAAGCAGTCAAAAAGGAAGATATCACAATCCTAAATCTATATGCACCTAATAGCAGCTTCTAAGCATATAGACTTGAAATTGACAAAATTAAAAGGGGAGAGAGTCAAATTCATAATTACAGTGGAAGATTTTTAACCCATCTTTTACAACAGTTGATAGAACAAACAAATAAAAGAGCAGGAAAGACACAGACGATCTGAACAATATAAAGCAAAAATTTGACCTAAGTGATAATACACAAAATATTGCGTCTAACGACAAAATTAGTACTCTTTTCAAGTGTACATAGAACGTTTACCCACATAACCATAGGCTGGGCCATAAAGAAAGTCTCAAAAGATTTTGAAACACTAAAATAATTTAGAGTATATTTTCAGACCACAGTAAAATTTAAGCTACAAATCAGCGTGATAAGCAGAATAATGTACCTACTTCCTTGCAAAGATGTCTACATTCTAATTTCTGGAATCTGTACCTATGTTACATTTTATAGAAAGGGGGAATTAAGGTTGTAGATAGAATTAAGGTTGCTAATCATCTGACCTTGAGATGGGGAGATTATCCTGGATTATCCAGGTCGGTCCAATGTAACAATATGGGTTCTTAAAAGCGAAAGAGGGAGGCAAGAGGGTGAGTGTCAGAGTGATGCGGTGTGAGAAAGACTTAGCCAGTCATCGCTAGCTTTGAGGATGGAGGGATGGAGCCCAAACCAAGGCATGAGGGCCACATCTAGAAGCTGGAAAACTCAAAAGAAAAGGATTCTCCCCTAGAGCCTCCAAAAGGAATGTAGTCCTGCCAATACCTTGATTTTAACCCAGTGAGATCCATTTTGGTCTGACATCCAGATCAGTAAGATAATAATTTTGTTCTAAGCCACTAAATTCGTGGTAATTTGTTACAGCAGCAATAGGAAATTAAAGCGGTCAACAACAAAAAGATAAGAAAATGCCTAACTGCCTAGAAATTAAACAATACACTAATCTCTGGGTCAAATAATAAATCAAATAGAAATTAGAAAATCTTTGAGTTGAATGATGGTGATCGTATAACTTATTCAAATTTGTAAGATACAGTTAAGGAGTGCTTAGAAGAAGCCTGCTTAAATACTTATATTGGAAAAGAAATATTGAAGAAAATCAATGATTTAAATGTTCTTCAAAAGAATCTTTAAAAAAATAGTAATTCAAACCTGAGGAAAGTGGATGTAGAAAATAATAAGCATAAGAGTGAATAGCAACGAAATAGTAAAAAAAAACCCAAAAAACGAAAATAAAGAAATCAACAAAGACAGAAGTAAGTCCTTTGGAAAGGCAAATAAGCAAAATGAAAAATTTTTTTTAAAAAGAAAAGAGACAACACACATTACCAATATGTGGAATGAATAAGAGAAAATCACTACAGGTCTTACAGACATAAAAAAACAATTAGGAGCATATATGACCAAATTTATGCATAAACATTTGACTTTTTAAATAAAGTGGATAGATTTCTTAAAAATTCAACTTACTAAATCAAAAAAGAAAAATAATTAGAAAATCTCATTTGTAATTATTAATAGAACTGAAGCAGTTATTAACAACTTTTGCACAAAGGAAATCCCTAGGGCCTGATGACTTCCACCAGGGAATCCTTCTAAACATTTAAGGAAGAAGTCACACCAATCTTACACAAATTTGTTAGGAGAACAGAAAAAGAGGTATTATCTACTTCATAACTCTTTTTATAAGGTCAGCATAACCTTGGTACCAAAACCTGAGAAGCACAATACAAGAAAGAAAAATCACAGGTCAATCTCTCTCATAAACACAGATGCAAAAATCTCAAAATATTAGCAAATAAAATCTACTAATATATATATATATATTTATTTTAAAAAGTATATCATCATAAGTGGGGCTTACTCCAGGAATGAAAGGGTGGTTTATCATCTGAAAAAACAATGTGATCAATATAATCATGATATTAACAGCAAAGAGGAAAAAAAAATAATATGATCATATTGATAAATGCAGAAATAGTGTCTGACAAAAATTAAACAGTTAATTGTGATTTAAAACAACTTTTAGCAACTAGAAATATAAGGTAGCCTATAGCAAACGCTGTATTCAATGGTGAAATATTTAAAGCTTTCTCCTTGAGAAGCCAGAATGAATTAAGAATGTCAACTATCACCAATTCTATTCAACACTGCATTGGAGATCCGAGCTTGTTCAATAAGTAAGATAAGAAATGAAAGGTGTAAAAACTGGAAAGGAAGAAATAAAAATGTTATTATTCACAGACAGTATGATTGTTTATGTAAATAATCTGAAATAATAAACATAAAAACAATACATATAAAAATAGAACTGGAAAGTAGATTAATATACTACTTACATAAGAAACTGGAAACTTGTAAAGAAAGTAAAACGTATTGCAAATTATAAAAGATGCATTTCTAACAACATAGGTACAAGGACCACATTTTACATATTTTCATTGTTACTTTTATATATAGTAATAATCTCGATAAATATTTATTGAAGGAATTAATAGGGAACATATTTTCTGACATGAAAAACAAAATAGGCTAGTATTTTTAAAGAGTTAAAGTAATTAAACCAGCAAAAAAGTCAATACTGGCTAAATGGAGAGAAATCAACACATTACTACATAGCCGAGGAAAGCATAGATCAACCCGCATATTTTAAAAATCAGTTCGAAAGTATGTACCAGAGCTAATCACATTATTATACCATTCATTACTTTGACTCAATAATCTCAGTTAGGGAAAATTATTCTAAGGGAATAATCCAAAAGAAAAAGAGTTAAATGCACAAAGATGATTTATGTTACCTGACCTGTAATAAAGAAAAAGTATCCAACAACAGGAAGTTACTTATTTAATTCTAAGATTTGGGTTATAGGCACAATTTGGACCTGGACTCCCTCCAACCTCCCTGCCACCGTTGTTAACTTAAGGAAATTATTTAAGCTCCATGAGCTTCAATTTCCTCATCTATAAAATGAGGATAATAATAGTAACTTTTTTATCGAGTTGCTATGGGGATTGAATGAGTTATTAAACATAAAATTCTTAGAACTTTGGAATATTTACCATATATGATTATGAAAAAGATTATATACCAAATGAGAGAATACTGGTGATAATTTTAAGTGGACAAAACAAAACGTGGTTTGTAAAATCATATATATATATACACTTATATCCATATGTATACATATGCCACGTGTATGTATTTTATAAACGTTACATTCTATATTATGATTTTGTTAAATTATATAGACATATAGACAAGGACTTAAAGAGAACATGGACAAATAAAAATCATTTTTAATTAACAGATTTGTGAATGATCTCATTTGGTAAACAGTCATTTTAACTGAATTTTAGTTAACAAAGAAAAAATACGTTAAACATTTATAGAAACGACCCAGAATTTCTACCTCTTTGTCTTGAATGTTAGGGTCTGCATTATTTTCCATGAGTACTGCCATGCAGTTGATGTATCCCCCATATGCAGCACACTGCAAAGGGGTCCTTCCTGCATAATCTTGCACATTTGGATTGATCTTGTTTTCTATCAATATCTGGCAAACATCAGCATTTCCTCCCAGCGCTGCCCAATGTAGAAGAGAATGTCCATCTTGGTCAACTAGATCTACCCTTGCTCCACCTGAAAAAGCAAAAATATAATGAAAATGTTTAATATAGAGAGCATTTACCAAAAAGAATAGAAGTTTAAAAAATATAACAACAGTTCCTCAAATGCTTTTTTACTCTTAGCAAAATGCTTCCACATATATTATCTACTTCAGATTTTTACAATAAGCATGTGAGTTGATCAGGGTAGGCATCATTTCCCTTTTACATAAAATAAAGCTGAAGATCAGGCATATAAAGTGATATTTTTCCAAAATCACACAACTACCAACAGATGGAGCTAGGACCTCGAGTTTCCTGATGCCACGTGTGGCGCTCTTCCCTCCACCCTTCTATCCAGGTGGCTCTCTGCTACGTCAAGCTGTGTATTTCAAATCACGAATGCAAGAACTCCTGCCTTTTGAGAGTGACTTAATAACTAACCTTTAATAAGCGTCTGAATCACATCCTTGTGTCCCATCTCACAGGCTCGGAAAAGGGGAGTATGTTTCATGACATCAGTAGCGTCTACTTGAGCATTATTTTCCAATAATAACTTCACGGTGCTGACATGGCCAGAAAGGGCAGCAGCGTGTAAAGCTAAAAAGGGAGCAAAAGAAAGTGATGGACTCTTTATTAACAACTTTACCTCTTTATTATGCTAACCATATATCTTTTCCTCTTTAGATTTCCCCACCATTTTGGCTAAATGAAATCTAATCTTAAGGATTCTCTATTTTCCATTTTTGAAGATTTCTATCTTCCTTTCTATTTATAGGTATTATTTATACTTTTTCTCTTTTTTTTCTACCTTTCTTATCTCACTGTTTTCTTCCCTTTCATCCTGTTGGCTTGAAATGGTCCCTTCTTCTCAGTTGCTAGTTTATTATATTTTCCTCTTTCTGAGAGGGCAAGAGAACAGCAAATGAAAAAGAGAAATAATTTAAATGATGCAGGCAATTCTGCTCACCAATCCACTCAATAAGCATACACCCCTGAGGGATCGTGTGACAGGAGATATCAGTCTACTGTTCCTTCAGTTGGTTACACAAGCTATTCCTGCAGCTGGTCTATGTACCCACGAGGTACTGAAAGTTTGTGCATCTTACTTCATTGAGTGTATTTTTCATACAACATAACTCCAAAGGCAAGCCAGCTATTTCCTCAGGGCCCAATTTAAGAAACAGCAATTTGTTTCAACATTGGAGAAAACACTGAGATGGAATGTGGTCTTTCCTCTGGTGCTTTTGTAAGGGGTTTGAAAGAGTAATTGTGACTATATGTGAGTTTCATGTTATACTGACCCCTGCCTATGTTATTCCACTCTAGTGCTTGACTTATGACATCACTTTTTAGATTACTCTGTAAATTCTATTTAAATTCATCACTTTTTACATTCTTCTGAATTTGCTAGGTTAACTATCTAGAGGCCCAGACCAGTTCTTTCTCAGTATTATGGCTCTATATTGCCTAGAACAATATTTCTGTCATAAAATGTGATCCATGGACCAAACTTGAGATATCTATAAAAATGGGGGTTCCTGGAGATTTATTGAGCACCTGCTATGAACTGGTATTAATGTAATGATGGGAATTCAGCAGGGAACAAAATAGATAATGTTATAGCCCAGTAGGAGAAGCAAAACAAAAACAAAAACAAAAAAACAAAAAAACCCACCAAAATATAATAACAAGAAAGTACTCAGTAGTGATAGATGGTATAATTAAAGTAATAAAAGGTATTCTGATTTGTAGGGTGACTGGGGGATAACTTTTGATTGGTGGTAAGGGGGAAGCCTTTGCTAAGGAGCTGACATTTAAGGGGAGACTTAAATCATAAAAAAGAGAATGCAATGTGGAGATCTGGAAAGAGAGTAATTTGAGCAAAGGTAATGGTTAGTATAAGGACAGGGATGAATCCATGTGTTTAAGGAAGGCAAGGAAGCTGCAGCACAGTAGGTAGAAAAGGCCAGATCATAAATGGCCATACAGATCAGAGTACTGGAAGATACTGAAGGGCTTTAAATAGGTAAGTGATATTATCTAATTTATGGTTTAAACAGAACACTCTAGCTGTTCTGAGGAAAATGCACTGTAGAATATAAGCAGGGAGATCAGTTAAGACTATTGCAGTAGACTGGGTAAAAAGTGAGAGCTTGAACGAGGGTAACAGGAAAGGAGATGGAGAGAAGTAGAAAAACTTAGAATACATTTTGGAGATGGAGTCAACAGGACTTGTTGACGGAATTTGAAATAGGATCTCTGTCCATATAGTCTGTATTTAGACTAACACCCCCAGTAATTCTAATGCACACTTGAGCTTGACGACTCTGATCTGAATGCGTAAGTGTTAGTTTGGCCTAGATGAGATTCAGACAGGTGTGAGATATTTCACATATCTGAAGTGAAAGAAAGCAGAGTGAAAGAAAGCAGAGTGAACATTCAATTTGACTCAGTATTATATCTGAAGTGCTGTCACGTGGAAGAAAGCAGAGTGAACATTCAATTTGACTCAATATGAAGAAGAATATTCTAAAAGAGTTAGGTAAAGAGGATAGCAGTGGATCCCTCATACTGAAGCTGTTAAAACAGAGACTAAAGACCACTACTTAAAATGTTTATAAGGCAGATTGAAGTGTGATATACTTCAGTGATTTTCACATTTTCAGGGTATAAGAATGCTTCCCCTGCCCCAAATGAAAACTTATAAAACACTCAACATATAAACAGATGAGAGCTGTTCTGACTAAAGTAGGGGTAGAGGGTTATCCATTTAAGAATCTATGCCCTCGGCAACATTTCAAGTACCTCTACAGAAACCTGTTGTCCTGAAGAACATGGCTTGGAAAACCCTGGACTAGATCTAATTTTAAGGTACTTTCTAATTCTGAAATTCTACATTTTATGATATGGCATCAGGATACAAAAGACACTCTTCATATAAATATCGATGTCAAATAAAAAATAGACAAAATGTCAATTAAGCAAGATAGAACAAATAATCTTATTAAAGGAAATTCCCCATTTTTGACTATTTGCATTTACTTTATGTTAAAATAACCTTAGATGTAACTACTGTTGCCCCCTCTTTGAAAAAGTGCCACAAGTTTACATAGAAGTGCTATTTTTTTTTTAACTCTAACTTGATATTATGGAAAATTTCAAACATATTCAAAACTAAAGACAATAATCCAGTAAACTCAATATAGCCACCACCCAGCTTCAGCAATTACCAGTATATGGCTAATCTTGTTTCAACTAACTGCTATCTATTCCTCCACTTCTGATCATTTTGAATAAAATTCTAGAGTTGTATCCTTCCATTTGTAAATATTTTGCTAAGAATAGCTGAAAGACATGTGTTTATTTTTAGAAACACAACCACTGTATCAGTCAGTTAGGGTTCATTTAGGAGACAGAAACCACGCCAGACACTATAACAGAGAGAATTCAACATAAGGTATTGCTGCTACCTACTGAAGAACTGAAAAAGCAATAAGGGAACACGAAGGTATCACAGAAGTAGTAAATGCAGGAAACAGCTTCAAATTCTAGGACTAGGGGAACAGAAACAAGAGGATGGAATTATTAACACTTAAAAGCTAAGAAGAGGAGCCCTGCAGAGCTGAAACTCAGACCTCTGAGAAGGGGCTGTGCTTGGCTGGTGCTGGTTCCTATGAAGGGGGTGCTCTGAGGCTGGTACTATTGAGTGATGAAAAAACTGCAAAGTGAAACTGACTGTTGCCATTGGAACGAAGTGTCAGCACTGTGTTGAAGATTTACTAGGGTGATGCTGCCATGAACAGAAAACAAACACACAGAATAGTAAGCAGATAGAAAGATGTAATCTTTTGCTCCTCTTTAAGCTTTCCAGTCTCCTACTGCCACATAAGGGCTGATTCTAACAGGGCACCTGCTGACAAGGGGGAAATGTGTTTTGCAGAGCCCTAGCCCCAGTATTGCAAAGAAAGGATAGTCCCATGTGCCTGATGGCTTTATCATTTTTTATAGGTTATTTATTTGAATCAAGATCCAAATAATGTCTGTATATTGCTGTTGATAAGAACTCTTTTTTTTTTTCAGTGGGAAGGGAAAAAACTCTGTAGAGAGATGATGGAGAGAAACTCACTTTCATAGACAAAGAATGTCAGGAAGTATCTCTGACATATAATAAAATCCCCTTAGGAGAAAGAGCCCAGGGAATTAGTGAATCAGAGAAGAATTTATGTCTGAACTCCAACCACGGTGTACATCAGAAAGACACCTTTGGTCGAAAGGATTCATATATCCTCACCTATACTTTATTAAAATACATGAAAAAGTTAAACTAAAAGGCTAGTGATAAATTAAAAGACTGCACACTAATGGAAGTCAGACAAAAATTAAATGTTCAGACTACTTATAAACTAAATGTCTTACATGTCTGCACTTACCTCTTAAGAAGCTTAAGGTCTACTGTGAGGTTTTGATAAAGAAATACTTTTGAAAGTTAAAGCCTTTATCAAAATTGGTATTACCTTAAAATTATTTGTTAAAAACTCTTAAAAAATAACTTAGAGGGTATGGTGGTGTAGGTACAGGGAAAGTGAATACTAGCTGTAGCAACTTCCTTTCCACTTGACCACTCATTGCTGGATCAATAGTTTTGGTGGCCAAGAAAGATCTTATCCAAGACAACAGGTAGCTGCAAATGGTTCTAGTATGTTTCTATAAGTAAGAAAAAAAAAAAAACACTGAGAAGCTTGTAGCTGAGTTTTTATTCTATTCAGTGTTATTGTGCTGTAGTGTGAATTTTCTTCCAATTCGGATACAGAACACAAAGAAGAAATCTCCAAGTTGACAATGAATGCTAAAAAACTTATACTTCTCTTATTAACCAACATGTAGTTAAAGGGCTCTCTTATTAGAGAAAGAGATTGAAAGAAGCATCTAGTAAGACCTTTTGATGCAAAGCTGACTTGAAGCTTTGAAGCTTCTAGAGTCATGAGAGGTTATCTCTAAAATGGCAAATTTAGGATAAGGTAATTCTATTCAAATCTGAGAAAAGAGCATATTAAACATGTACAGTTTTAGAGTACAGGTTTATGCTTTTTTTTTTTTACACAAAGATAATCAGAAGAGTTCCCATAATCAAGTCTAAGAAGCAACCAAGGTCTTAAACTAAATAAATGCCTTCATTTACCAGGTTAAAACATAGGCTAATTTTAGTCATAATACCTGCAGGAAACAAAGACTTTGGAGTGATCCTGGCAACCTAAACTGGAAAAGTGAAGATGAAAGTCTAACAACATTAAATTAGGAATAATGATTTTAAGGTACTATTGTACAAGTTTTACAGCACCATCTCCACTTTGGAACCAAATTGATCGTGTCCACCAGTTCTTACCTGTACCTCCATATTTGTCTGCCATGTTAATATCAATATCAGATTTTAAACTCAGCATAGTCCTAAGGACATCATCACTGCCTTTCCCAGCAGCCCACATAAAGGATGTTCTTCCTTCGAGGTCTGAATCATCTTTCACTGAAGGATGTTTTAAAAAGACTTTAACTGTTTCCTGTAAGAAAACTTCATTTAAAACTTTGAGACAAGAGAGTAATATTTTTCATGATAACAAAAGCACCGTTATATGTGACTTCAAATAAGAAGCAAAGTATTTTTACCTGGTTTCGAATCAAATGAAATTATTGTGGGGTTTTGTTGTTGTTGTTTGCTGATACTTTTCAAAAAGAGAACTGCAATCTCTTGTGAATTAATAGAGTCTAAGAAAGTCAAGGGGCTTGAAACTGAGCTTAGAAAATTTGCATAATTATAAAAAAACCATCTCTAGGATTGGCTGATTATCTAAAGCGAGTATTTCTTTGAATAAACATCTACAAAGTTCTACCATTCTTTCTTACTATCATTAGCACAGTTACTTACTTACTGGTACCTGTACATATGTTAAATTTGGAGTCTAAAACTTGGGTTCAAGATCTTAGGCAAGTGATTTAATCTCTTGGAACTCTGCTTTCTTGTAAATAGGGATAGCGTGTCTTATCTCATAGGCTTGTATTGAAACATGGATTGAGTTCTGTTTTCCACAGATTGACTAGACTGGGCCAACTGAACTTCTTATGTGTTTGTAACAAGATTCTCATCAAAATCTATCTTGTATTTTTCTGAGATCTTGGAAGATAAAAGAAGATAATGGCTTACCAAAACTCTAGGTGATAAATAAAATCAATTTTTATGAATGCTAGGAAGAAAGACTATAGCTACAGTTGTTCTGAGCACCAGAGAGAAAAAAAGGTAGGAAATAAGATATTTTAGCCATCTGAGTACTCAAGATATTCAATGGTGCATTTGGTAAGGTCAGGAAGATGGAATTATACTATGCTGAAGATAGCATTCTTATAATTTAATGACACCAAACACATCATGTAAAAGGCAGCAAAATCAACTTTGGCTGCTTTAATGTGTGCCTCTATGGATAAGTCTGTGGTTCTTGGTGGCCACTCATTCTCAGGAAGCTGAAGCAGCCTAGAGACGATCATGTTGTTGGCTGGATTGAGTGATATAATGGATGAGAAAGTGCTTTGTAAACTATAAAGGTGATAAGGGAAGAACTGTTAATGATATTCGATATCTTTGGAAATACCAATAATTCATATTATTGCTTTCTCAGATATGTAATATACATAATTAACACTAGTAACCATATGAATGCATTCTGTTTCTTGAGTACCCGCTCAATGCCAAGGACTAAACTAGGCACTTGCCATAAATTTTTTCTAATTCTTACAACAATCCTGAAAGAAAAGGTATAATTATGCCCATTTTAAACATGAAGAAACTAAGACTCAGAATAGTTAAGAAACTTGTGCAAGGTTACACAGCTAGCAAATAGTACAGTCAAGATTCCAGCCAAGGTTTGTCTAGTTCTAAAGCTTTGCCACACTGCCTTCAGGACAATTATAGATTGCTGAACAATTAAGTTGTCCTTAGTGCTATAAAGTAACAAAAAGATGAAGTATACTTATGGTAATGCAAAATGTTGCACCAAACAGTTAAAATAAAAACTGTATAAAACTTCACATGTGACTAACAATTTTACAAAAACTCAAGACTATCAGTTAACAGTATGAACAATTGTTGAAAGATAACTGCTGTACAAACATCCACAAATGAGCTCATGTTAAATGGTGAAATATGAATAAGGTCAGTGGATTACATAAATGTCAATTTTCTGTTTATGATATTGTATTATACTCTTGCAAGATATTACCATTGGGGTAAATAGGGTGAAGGGTACATGGGCTCTCATGGTTTCATTTTTATAAATGAAAAAAAATTTACAATTGTATCAAAATTAAAATTTAATCAAGAAAAAAAGATAATTTTCACGTTTTACTTACAGCAAAGTTACTCTGAGCTGCATAGTGCAAGGGTGTTGCTCCTTGGCTATCAGAAGGGATGGTTCCAGATTTATTTCTTTCTAAAAGGAGATGGACAATCTGTGCATGGCCTGAAGTAGACAAAACAAGGTAGCTGTCATATATCAAGGACATTAATTAATTTATAATCTATTTAAAAGAAAGGGGTAAGAAAAGTCACTAGCACATAGTATAGCATTCAAAATGGTTTCTGAACAGCAGCCCTCAGTGCAGCTTCTTCTTACTTCTCTTAAAATACTATGATAATATAGAACAAAGGCAAAAACTTACAACACTAAAAACTTAAATGTTCAATCAGGAAGGAAATAACATTAATTATTATTGCCAGATTGAAAAAAAGGCGACACTAGATATCAGCTCATTGCATTCCCTGGCTTCACTTTATAAAACTGCCTATAAGAAAGGAGGAAGGTGTGTTAAAAGCCAGCCCCTCTCAGTCGTCAATGCCCGCAGTCTCCAGGTTCCATTGCACAACCAATCAGGACTGCACACCTGCTCTCTTCTACTGTTCAGGAGGACAAACTACAATTCAATCTCCTGACTCTCCGAGGTCTCCTATCCCTCCCCTCTAATCTCCCTCCTCCAATATTTTAACATCTAGGCAGTGATTTCAAATCATAGGAAACAAATGTGCAGGAATGATGTGGTGGTGAAGAAAATATTCTACAGTACAATCTGGAGGATGTGTCTCCACAAGTAAAGAACTGATGAAAGGATCAAAGGATGAACAAACCTGTCAGCACTATATTTAGGAAACCTGAATTTCATAAATTCTCTTGCTTCAGCATATTGGGGAACCAGGCAACGAAGAAGATGTCACATTAATAGAGCAAGCATACACTGTATGAGAGCCAGGCAGAACAACAGAATTTAGTGAGAGTTCTCGTCTACCTGCTCTCCAGCCATAGTTTGAGATTGAGTTCTCCATAACACAAATGGATGAAAGTAGGATCAAAGGCAATCCATGTCACACAGTCAACTGAAACACCTCTTACTTTATTTGAAGGATAAAGAGAAGCATTCAGTAAAGGCTATATGAAAACATACTATAGGAGAAGGGAAAAGGAACGCCATCAGAAAGATAAGAGCATACCTCAGAAAATGATCTAGAGAAGGATCCAGAGGAAAATTTCAAGAAACTGTTTGGTAACCTTGATTTAGTGCAAAGAGATGGTGGCTCTATGCAGTGAACAGAACATCCTAAGAAGAAAACAGAATGAAATGAAAACGTAATGGAATGAGGTAAAAGGGGACATAGACTGAGATAAAAGGAAATATGGATGAGAGAAGGAAATCAAATAAAATATATAAGGGACAGAAAGAAAGCAGAACTTAGGGAACAGAAAGCCAAGTTAGTGATGTGGAGATAAATTTGTGAAGTCCTCCTAGAATGCAGAAAGAAAGAAAAAAAAGGGATGAAATTGCACATTGAAATGAACTCTAAATAACAATTATAAATCCGACTATAAAACTGAATGCAAATGTAAAAATCATTTTCAAAAGACAATGCTTAATTTAAAAACTAAGACTATAATAATGATCGAGGAAAACCTCAGGCCACATTAACAAATACTAGAAGAGTATTAAGTAAAAGTGTGCTAAATTCTTCATTTTAAATAGGTTAGAATTAACAGATACAGTTTTGTGTTTTGACTCTGATTCAAGTTTTAAAAAGTTTTTGATCAATTTAAAAGTAACCACTAATAAAACTTTAAAAAGCTCCTAAAACATTAGGCAATTCATACCAAATAACAACAAACCTAATCCGTACATTAAAAGGCAGAAAACAAAGGAAATAGGAAAACAAAAGCAAAAAACAAACAAACAAACCCAAAACACTATCAGTATTCAAAAAGCAAAATAGCAGGAAAAAGATCAAATTATATATCTCCTAACAATGACTTTCAATGGGTAAAATGCCTTCACTAAGAGAGGACTCTCAGATTGCCCCTTCAAAGCAGACATATACACACATATGACTCTTTCATCTAAAAAAGAGATCCCCAAAAAGGTTACATAAAAGGCATATTAGTAAAATAGGAAGAAAAAAAATCAAACATATCCATACGTAAAATTAAAGCCCTTCTCCCTAAAAATAAAGACACTGAATATAAAAAGAGGATTATTTTACATTTATATTTGTAAATGAATTTATATTACTTTTAAATAAAAATTAAATGCTAAGACATGATGTTGAAATTAAAACAAAGATAAAACAGATAATACATTTATATTACTAAAATTTAGGCATAAACAGATGGACTTAGGTATAAAATAATGTCACATAATTAAAAATTAAAACAATTAAATAGAAGACAGGTCCTAGGAGAACAGAAGTCATAGAAAGTTTCCTATACTCATGCACTTCCTCCTACTATTGATCTTTTGATTCACATTCAACTCACCTAGTAAAGCTGCCCAATGAAGTGGGGTTCGAAATAAGTTATCATAAGATGTTATATTACAGCTTTCATATGAGGTCAAGACATCAACCACCGTCACGTTCCCATCGGCGACTGCAAAGTGAAGGGGTGTCCGACCCTCGTAGTCTTGCCAGTTCAGTAAAGACTCTGTTGGAGCAGCATCCTGTTTTTAAGGAACCAAGGACTTCAGACAGACATTGACTTCTCAATAAATCATATTTGCTATAAGTATTAACAGAGCAGTTTTCTAAACCTCTATATTCTTGCAGCACAAGTAAAGTATAAAATTTAGAAAAAAAGTATACATCTAAATCTTTAAAAATATTTTTGTATTTAACTATGAAAAGTATAGAAAAGATAATAAACACCATGACTATCTAGATTAAATGGGTATCAAAATTTTGCCTAATGTACTTTGGTATCTGTTATGAATTGAGCTATAGCTGTATGTTTTGTTCTTTTGCTAAATATGTATGAATTCATAAATAGTACATAAATTTCATGTGTTTTTAATATTTATTCTTATGAATTATACTATGTATATCCTTTGGCGATTTTTTCTTTCAACACTATGCTTTTGGGTATACTAGTTCATTAGTTAAACCACAATTTAGTTATCCATTCTCCTACTAAGGGACATTTAGGTTATTTACATTTTTTCCCACTATTAACAATTATGCTACAATAAACATACTTCCTTTACTTGTCCCCTTGTGGCACATGTGTGAGATTTTTCTCTAGCCAGACCTGTAGAATGGGAATTGCAGGGCTGAAGGACATCTGCATCTTCAACTGGATATTGTGAAGCTGTTCTCCAAATGGTTGTACCAATTAGCGTGTCTATGCCAATGTATAAAAGTTTTTACTACCCAAATGCTGGTACAAATAAGCCATTTGATATTATCAAGCTTACTACATTTTCCCCTTATAGGTATGAAAGATATTTCACCGGTGTTTTAATTCGTATTTATTTTATAAATGAGGTTGAGATTTTTTTAATCATATATTAAGTGGCTATTCAGTTTTATTTCTCTGTAAATTGACAGTTCACAACATTTATCCATTTTTCTACTGGATTTTTGTAGCAAATAGTATGAGGCATTGCTGAGGCTCCCCTTCAACTCTAAAGGACTTACTTCTCCCACTGCTGGGAGTACTGCCAGCAGATGACCCTAAATAGTCAGCTTTCTGGAACCGCTTCAGTTACAGAGAGTTACCTCATCCAATGTCATGTCCCTTCCCAGATTAGGTCATAACCAAAGGCAAGACCTCTTCCCCTATTTGAGAACTCTGAAGGGCCATCCTAGATTTACAGCTGCCTATACAGTCAGCCTATTTTACAAAAAAAAAAAAAAAAAAAAAAAAAAAAAAAGAAAGAAAGAAAGAAAGAAAAAAGAAAGGTATTATAAACACTTCAAAAAAAGATGCAGAATATTACCATGATGGTATTTTAGGCCCTTGAGTTTCCCAAAGACTAAGATATGTTTACAAGGGGGAACGAAAGACAAATCTGTGAGGAAATAAGATATGAGTGAGAATTATCCTAGGACTTCACACATAAAGCATATACAATAGCTATGCAAATAAAGCCATGAGAAGAGAATTTTGGACAAGCCTTTTCCCAACTAACAGCTTGAATGTGCTTTGGGAATACTAATATGATTTTTTAATTAACATTAATTCTGCTTAGCTTCAACTATGAAAGAAATGGGGTTTATTCAAACATCAATTAACAAAGTAAACCCCAATAAAGGAAAAATACTCTCTCCACTTACAGCTCACAGCAGGAAATTCCCCTGCTGAGTCTTTCCCAAGGTCTCTCTATATAAAGTCTTTCTGATGAACTTGCTAGAGCCTTAATGAGAATGAATCAGCACATATTTTCCATCCTATAAACAGAAACATTTACTTTCATGCAAGGGGAAAGCATGCTTGACTCTCCCCAGCTCACCACATAATATCTTCAGTTTTCCTCCTTCCTCATAATTTATTTCTCATAGTATTTTCATTAGAGTAATTCCTCAGGGTTTCTCAAACCTCAGGACTATAACTAAACATCAGAGATTAAAAAAAAAATACAAAATAACTATCAATAAAACATGTACAAAAATGAAAAATGAAGTAAAAAGTGAGCAAGGAACAAAAACTATCAAAGCAACTAGGCAGATTTGAAAAAGAATGAAATAGAACTTTTAGAAGTGAAAATATAATTACTAAGATTAAAGAGCCAATGAATACGGTAAACAAGTGGTTGGACTCAGCTGAAGAAAGACTTAGTAAACTGGAAGACAGATCTTACCCAAAACGGAGCTGAGAGAGAAAGAGAGAAGGAGAGAGAGAGAGAGAGATAGAGAGAAAGATGATGAAAATGTAAAAGAGAAGTTAAGAGAAATGGAGAATAAAATGAAAAGGTCTAAAATATGTACAAATAGAGAACATAAAGGCAAGAGTAGAGACAATGAAAAAGAATCAATATTTAAAAAGATAATGGCTATATATTTTCCAGAACTGAGATACAATAATCAGAATGTATCTCAAACAGAGAGGAAAAAAGCCATACCTACACGCACTGTAGCAAACATTGCAGAATGTCATATAGAGAAGGATTTAAAAGCAGCCTGAGAGGAAAGATGAATCAACTCTAAAGAAATGACAATTAGACTAAGAGAAACAATGATAGACAGAAAGCAGCAAAATAATAGTCTGAAAGAGTTGAGAAAAGTAACTGCCTAGAATTTCCTATGTATGTATTTGAGCGCAACAGAGAAATACAAAAGTTCTTATTTAAAAAAAGAGTTTAACACCAAGAGATAGACAATAAAGTTCTAAGAATTATATTTCAGGAAGTAAGATAATAACTTTAGGGAAA